TCCTAAAAATAATGTGGTGTATGGTGTATAATGTATATTAGGTATATATTATAAGTATAATTTTGAGAACTATTACAAGTAGGTAGATGAAATAGGATAGCACATTTGAAAACAATATTTAATAAGTTTTATTTTCTGTGAATATTGTAATAATTAAGTACACAGTTTACGATATACCTATACGTTGTACTAAAAAAATATTTAGGTAATAATTAYTTGTATAAATGCTTCATTTAGTAGCTAGGGCTTCAGCCCCCCCAAATCTCAAACGCTATTTGCGCCTATGGGTACATTATAATACAATAATGTACTAAACAGTTTTAAGTATACCCAAAAATTTTTAAATTGAAACAAAATAACTAAAACCGTTATTGATGGTTTTAATATGTTATTTTATCTAATTTTCAACTTTAAATGTCTGTAGAAAATAATTAGGCAAGTGTATATATTTTTTTAGATTTTATGAAAATTTGAACTTAAAATACTTAGAAAAAAATCGTGCCTATGGATCTTAAATACTTATCAATTGCTATTATAACAACTTATTACGAACAGTGTAATAAATGTATAATCATTTTARCCCAAATTTTATTGATTATAGAATCAAAAATTAAAAAAATTGAAACTGTCAAATACCCTACGGTTATACAATACATGATCGCATTATAAAAAGATCCTCATTTATAAGCAACAAGTGTTTATTTGTTTTTCTCGTTCATWTTTAGCTCATTCCATAATAATTACATAAAGCTATAAAAGTAAAAATATAGTGCTTACCGTCGCAATTTTATACAGAACAATGTAAATGTGATTACTCGATAAATATACATAATCCATTTATATGATGGATTATGTTATATATTATATATTTTTTTTTTTTTATTATTGGTTAAGCATCAACTACATAGGTTATTAGCTTACATGTGTTAATTTCTACATTAAATGATTATATGCTATTGTAATATATATATATTATATTATATTCATTTGTATTACGTATTTTCGTCATTCTATCAGTCATCACTCGTCGTTAAACAATATATGGATCAAAGTAAATAAATCCTGAATTCTTGAAGTGTAGTATTCTATCACAATGAAATAGTTAAATTTATCAAAAAAATACATTGTTTCAAGTAGGATTTTACAGGCTCAGCCCACCACTGCTAATGTTATTTTAAACAAAAATATTTTGTTCAATACGAGTATTATGGTATAGATGTCTCATATAATATGACTTAATGCGAATCAACACGTGTAACGACGAAAATGGATAATGTGGACTAACCTGTGAGTGTTACACGCGCTGTCACTGTTGGTGTTATACGACGTGGAAGTAGCGGCGCTACCGGTGGACGGACTCCTGGGTAGCGTCCTCGGTGTGTTTGGGTTGGTTCCGCCACTGCGCCCGTAATGGTGGACAACAGCTGAGCCACCGGACGACGAAGAGGCGGTGGTCCCGGAACCCGCGGACGACGGGAATTTAAACACTGCACTGGACGACGGGGTTGTGGGGCTACGGCGTGGTGGCCCATCGGTCGGCGTGGTCACGCTCAGCGACGGACTCCTTGGAGGCGTGTAATATGAAGTGGACGACGAACCGCCGCCCGGTGGCGTCTTATGATGCATGTTTTGATGCGCGTCCGGAAACGAGTTGACGTGTCCCAAGTCCCGGCGGACGATGGGCCGAGGCTTGTTGGCCGCCTTGGCGCTGGACGAGCGCCGGCATGGCTGATGGTGGTACCCGACCGCTGACGGTTGCTGTGCGGCCGACTGCTTGAAGTTATTGTTATTACTGTTGTTGTTGTTGTTGTTGTTGTTGTTAGAATGGTTTATACCGGATGATATAGAACAAGACCCGCTGACCGAATTACCCGAACACGCCGCGACAGCAACGTCTTCACTGTTAGACACGTTAACGGACGACTTGGACCGAGGTGAACAAAGCGCGAAGTACGGTTGAGACTGTTCGGAAAACGACGTCTCGGATGATCCAATCTCGCTGGCTGAATCGGAACTTCGGAACGTACGCATGGAACTGCTGTGCGATGACATGATGGTGTGGGCGATTTGACCACCACTCCTGCTTCTGTCAATATCCGATACAGTGACGGCAACAGGTGGACTCTGCAAAGTCAAAACGTGCGGTCTTCGAACGCCAGCTGCACCGCCGCCATCGCACTCGCTGCCGATTGGTCGTGTTGACGGCGCGCGGTGCAGCGCTTCACTACTTGCACAATATTATCACCCCTYGGACAGACGTAATTTTTCAGAAAATTCTATTTTTGTTTAAACGACAATACGTGACACTAAAAAACGAATGCTCCAGCGCGTATGACAATGTGTTTAAAATGTGAAAGCACAAGATAAAGATAATATTATCATTAAAATAATGACGATCGAGTATGAAAAAAATAGTGATTTTAAGTTAAAATAATATAATATCGACTAGTCGCGTGTATAGAGGGAAGCGCGAAGCAASACGTGTCCCGGTCGCCCCGCAGCTTTCGCGGATGAAGCCGTTCGGTACACTGAACTGAACGCGGCTACGCGAAGGGTCTACTCGATTTTTAACAGAATCGCGGCCTCGGCGGTGGCGGCGTACCGTTAGAGTGAACTGCACTACAAGTTGGGGCGACTAACTCGTCCGTGAAATATCTAACGCTATCTAGCGACAGTTTACTAGTATAATGCGACCACGATTTAGAAAATATTACTCTCTTTAACATCGAAGATGCAGCAGTAAACACTAAATAGTAACACCCCAAGGTGCTCAACCATCTCGCGAGCCACGGGATGATCCACATAAGAAACTCTTCATAAGTGTCATAAACGTTTAAGGGATCAATATCAACCTGTACTACACTTTGATCAATGAGTAGCACACGGGACACCACTATATTATCTGCTCCRACTCAAGTTATAGGCTTATAGCGGTACCTATATTATGTTTCGATTTAGTGATTAGTTTTTATAAATATAACTAATATGTTTTTCTGAAAATAAAATCTTATTATAATCTAATAAACTAATGGGTAACTGAAATGTATACAGTTCTTTCTTATACAGTTACAGTATGCTATACTATAATTAGGTTCCTAATAAGTTAGGTAGTTGTTCCGAACAACTACAACCTTTTTACGTTTTATGAAAATTTGTTGAATCATATAAATGTACTTATATTATACATAATTTAATATGTTAATCATTAAGAAACGAATAACGATAAATATTACAAATTTAATTTTTAATGAACAGTAAAAATAATTTTTTTTAGTATATGATGCTGTATAAGATCTGCAATAATTTCAATAGATTCGGAATTCAACAATGTATTAATCGAGAAATGTATTAGTTACATATAGTTACATATATATACCTCCAGCGGTTCTAGCGCTGAATTTTCACAAGAAACCTTTTAGTAAACTTAAGAAACAGAAAATGAATATATTATATTCCTTTTTCATATAAACTTTTCAACCTCTGAATAATGTATTTGTAAATATAATGTGGGCAGTATGGGCAGAACATTATGTTTATCGCCATCATACAAAGCACTGTGGTTTATTATTATTATTATTAAGTGTCGGGTTAGCATGCAAAATATCTGGTTATCGGTTTTTCTATGGYTCTAGAATAAAACAAGATTTATATCAATAATTCCTGAATACAATTAACTATAAAACAAATTATTATACGAGATAATAATTTTTAGATTTTATGAATACAATTTGAATTTGTACTAGGTATTATAATATTATATAATTGTATGTATTACATTAACTCAAATACATTTCAAGTTCACGCCTTACATGGGCGCACATTGGGGGAGGGACAAGACCGAGCACTTGCCCTCCCCCTGGAAAATTGATATGGACTTATAATTTAATAGGTATTAACATAATATTGACAAAATTAAATTAAAAAAATTAAAATTTTAACTTTTMGAGTATGAGACAAGTATAAAAATACTCAATGCTATAACTAGGTAACACACAACTCTTATCGTTTTAACGAGTAACGACACGATTTATAGGTACCCACGAAATTATTGATCACCGATAATTTGAGGTGTACCAGTCCATAAACATTCAATAATCAATAACACAGATATTTTATCGGAAACTTAATATTCTGACTTCTAATAAACTTTAATTACGATTAAAAATTAATAGTTAAAAATAAAATACTCATACCTTGTGTACTCCTTACTTTAATTCCCTTATATCATCTCTTTCGCTAAGATTTTTAAATGCAGATAACACAGCATTTTCAATAAGTTAATTCATCCTACAAATATTATAAAAAGCACATCATCAATGATTTCAAAACAATAATTTAACTATTATTAGTGAACAATATGAAATTGGAAATATTTTTGAGAAATCTGATATTTTCTATCAGTAATATTGATTAATAAAAATTTGGTTGAATACAAGTATGATGAAATTTCATTTGATTGTTTATTGGCTCATTGTATAAATATTAACCTGAATTTTTCAAATAATTCACGTATTTTTGTCACTTCTACCAACAACTTGCATAATAGAAAAATCATTCATTGAAAAGAGTAAAAACATGACTTCGATTGACTACAGGTAAGATCGTCTAAAAGTTTAAATGTCTTGTGTATGGCCAACATTAATCATGAAAAAGTGAACTTGAGCAAAAGTGATTCATTCAAGATGTCATTAATATTTTTGGAATAAACCGAAGAAATTTACAATTTTGATTTACAGATACCAAATTAATTATCATACATTTCAACATTTGACTATATTTTTTTAGCGTTTGAATAGTACCTGTTCTTATGAAAATGTATTTTAATTAATTATTGTATAACATGAAAATATTATAATTAATAGCATATTTATATGTACATTTTGAAAATGTATTATATAACAATAAACCTTCATTTAACTTAAATTTGCAAATTTTGTTWTTTTGTCCCCTCCTGAAAAGTTACCCATGACGCTCTATATATAAAGAACTGCATCATCATATAATAGGTATTTAAATTTTAAATTGCAGAACTTTGTAGTACACCTTACAAATGTACAACGTTGGCAACAAGAATCAAGATTGTATATTTATAAGTTATTAATAGTTATTATAAATATTTTAAGTTCTAAGACTTTCATTTTATTTACCTGTGTATTATCATATAATTTAGTAAGAATACTAGAAATAAGGCTATACAAACAGATTTTAAAATATGGAAAATTTAATTTTAGTATTTATATTATGATGAACATTTTGGTGAAATCAGAATTTACCTATCATACTTATTTTAGATTCTGAGCGGAGCGATGAATGTATTGATTTTATCATGATGTGTGTTTTTTTTTTTT